CCCCCCCCCCCCCAGCTGGGCAGCACCCAGTGAGTAGGGGCTTTTTTGAAGCACTGGGAGCTGGGGCTGAGTGGGGGGAGCAGGCAGGGGATGGGGCCTGGCAGGGGTCTCTCCATGGCTCCCTCCCACCTTGTCTGGTGCCTGCTCCCCCAGCCCCTACTTACCAGCATGGAGCCCGGGTCCAGATACCTGCTGCAGGGGGCAGGGACTGCCTGAATTGCTGAAGCTCTCCAAATCGATTCGGAGAGCTTCAAATAGATTTGGACTTAATTGGGCCCGATTCGATTCGGCGATTCGGCCACCGAATTGGGCCGAATCTCCTCTGAATTAAATCAGTACCCAAAACTCTGCACAGCCCTAATGGCTTGCGCTGCAGTCATTCTAGGTCTGCCACTGCACAGTATCTCCCAGGAAGAGTCAGGTGGGACAGTGGAACTGTCATGCATGCCTCTGGTTCTAGGCGTGTCAGGGGATGGAGGCTGGGGTTAACTGGGATGGGCTACAGCACAAGCTGGCCCTGCTGTCTCCTTTATAGTTATTAGAGAACTGTAATGCAGGAGGGATGTGCACGTCACAGCCCTACATGCAGGGCAGTTTTACCGGATCACCTGTTTTACAGCACCCCCTGAAAAAAATCTCACGGCAGCCTGAGGAATGTGCTAACCTGGTTGAGAATCACTGCTCTGAATTATCACACTGTTAGAATATCTGGTATGGAAGGCAAGAGTAAGTTCTTTTGCAAAGGGGGGAAATATCCCACCTTTCAGATGTTTCTAATCACAAGATATGATTGTGCTGTATGCCAGGTGCAAAAATTGCCATATAACTTTAAATCAGTGGGAAGCCAACTTTTTGGCTGAAGTGTCACATGGTAAGCCCTGCACCCTCCCAGTTCGCCACTCTAATTCCCTTCTTCTTCCTGCTCTACTTTCTGCCCTGTCTGCCATTGTGTTCTCTTTTGCCTACCTGATCTGCTGTGTCACACACAGAGGCAGCGTGCACAATTTACAGCATGTGTCACAAGATGCCAAGCCCTAAATTAAGACCATAATTTAATTTATGGTAACCTGCATGCAGCACTACAGACAAGTCCACCATTACAACAGAAATGAAGGCATTATTTGTCTCTAATACTACCTACTGAACCAGCCTTCACCAGCCTAGAGAATAGAAGACCAAGGGGAAGTTGATAACAGCCTTCAAATAGACATGCTTTGGGTATAGAAAGGATGGAGATGGGGTTTTCTCTGTAGCTGTAGGGGAAAGAGACTAGGTGCAATGACTTCAAACTACAGCAAGGGAAGTTTAGGTTGGAGATTAGGAGGAACATTCTGATTATGAGGGTGGTCAAGCATTGGAACAGGCTACCTAGAAAAGCTGTGGAATCTCCATCCTTGGAAGTTTTTGAGAGAAGGTTGGACAGGCACTTGGCTGGGATGGTTTAGTCAGGGGCAATCCTACCTTGAGCAGGGGCTGGACTAGACAACTTCAAGAGGTTCCTTGCAGCCTAAATGACCTCTGATCCTAAGCATTTCCACAGATCTGGATAATGGGATGGAGCTGGTGTCAACTGCAGACTCAGTGAGTCTGCAAATGACACCAAGCTGGGGGAGAGTAGTAGATATGCCAGAGAGTAGGGCTAGGATTCAGACAGTCCTTGACAAATTGAAGGATTGGACCAAAATAAATTTCATGAAGTTCAATAAAGACAACTGCAAAATCCTGCACTTAGGACGGAACAATCCTATGCACCAGGACAGGTTAGGGGCTGACTGGATAAGCAGCAGCTCTGCAAAAAAGGACCTGTGGGTTATAGCAGACAATAAGCTGAATATGAGCCAACAATGTGCCCTTGTTGAAAAGAATGCTAACAGTAGTGGCAGCACTGACAGCAGGTCAAGGGAAGTGATTGTTCCCCTGTATTCAGCACTGGTAAGGCCACATCTGGAGTACCATGTTCAGTTTTGGGCCCCCAATACAGAAAGGATATGGACAAATTGGAGAGTCCAGCAGAGGGCAACAAAATGGTTAGGGGGCCGAGGAACATGATTTACAAGGAAAGGCTGAGGTAACTGGGCTTATTTAATCTAGAGAAGAGGAGACTGAGAGACAACTTAATAGCAGCCTTCAACTCCCTGAAGGTGGGTCTAAAGAGGATGGAGCTAGACTGTTCTCAGTGGTGGCAGACAACAGAACAAGAAGCAACGGGCATTTATACACATACTTTTTCATGCTGCCAAGCACTGCAGATCCAGTGCATCAGAGCAGGTTAATCGATTCAATTAATTGAGTCTACTCTGCACATGAGCCGACGCACACTGCACTGCGTCACCTGCAGTTGTATAAATGGCAAAATGTGCATCAGCATGGAGAAAATGGCAGCAGTGCGCATTTGAATGAAAACACCTTTGACATGTTTTAGTTCAAAAGTGGACTGCTGCTATTTTCCGTGTGCTGATGCGCACTGCACCACTTATACAACCGCATGCATTGCAGCATGAGGTGCTTCTCAAAGCACCCGGCACTGCAGCACATGCATGTGTAAAAATGCCCAATGGTTTCAAGTTACAGCAAGGGAGATTTAGGTTGGATATTAGGAAAAACTCTTTCTAGGACTGTAGTAAAGCACAGGAACAGATTACCAAGAGGTTGTGGAAGCTCCATCCTTGGAGATTTTTAAGATCTGGCTAGACAAAAACTTGGTTGAGATGATCTAGTTGAGGCTGGTCCTGCTTTGAGCAGGGGGTTGGACTAGACGTGACCTCCTGAGCTCCCTTCCAACTCTAATTTACGATTCTGTGATCTTTACTTACATGTAATCTCCCCCTAAGCTCTCGATCGTTCCTCATTTTCACGTAGATTCGTTCATCTAGACTGAGCCTGATGAGATCCAGTGGCTCTTCTACGGTATTGGTTGTCTGTTGCTACGAAAAAAACGAGGCGGTTCCTATTACAAGCATGAAACCCCCTGAAAGTTGCATGTCCTAATCCCCAGGACTAGCAGGCAGACAAGGCAAGGAAACTGCTGTCATCTACAATGCTCCCACACACCTGGATCAAGCCAGCGGCCACCAGAAGCAGCAACTTGAGCAAACAGGGCATAAGCCCCCGAAGGCCCAGCAGCCTGAGCCCGCCCCACCAGCACTAGCATCGCAGTGGTCAGACCTTGCCAGCAAGACCGAGACACGGATGACACAAGCAGGCTCGAGGGCTTGCAGCAGGACGCTCGCAGCCGCCAGCACGGCGGGGGGCACGGCCGAGCCCCCAGAGCAGGGCCTGAGTGCGAGCCTGGGCCCGTCCTGCTCAGCCTCCCCTGCGCAGAGAGGCAGCGCGCTGGGTCGGGCCCCAGGGCGGGCAGGGACGTGTTGTGGGAGAAGCCCGGCATCCCACCACCCGCTAGCGCCTTACCTGGTCCACCTCGTCCGCCATCTTTCAAACGAACTCTCGCGCGATCCCGCGAACCCGCCTTCCCCATCCCGCGGGGCTGGGGGCGTGATGACGCCACACGTCGCACGAGGGGAGGGGGCGTGGCTTGGCTCCCCACGGGCCCTCAGTGTTCGAAGTTGTGAAATGGGCACCGCTTACCGTAAGGGGGCGGGTGTCTCACGGGAGGGGGGTGGGGTGCTGGGGCCGGAAGGGACGTCAGGTGGGTGGGGTCGGGTGCCGGCGCTGCAGCATGGGGCGAAAGCGTCGCGGGGCCCCGGTGCGGGACGCCAAGAGCAAGAGGCCTAAGCCCCCGCGCAGCCCGGACGGTGAGTGCGGCGGCAGCCCCCACACCAGGGCGGGTTGGAGGCCCCGGGATTGCGGACCGTGAAAGTCGGGCTCGGTGCCCGGGCCATGAGACATACTAACTCGGGTGTGGAAATGACTGACAGCAAAGCATCGGGGGCTCGACACGGCTGGATGTTGTTATATCATTCTGAGTAACAGACATACCTTTCACTCTTAATGATTACAGCACTAACGATACGATACCCTTTGACTGGTTTTTTGCGTTTTTTAAAGTTTTGCGTATGCTCTAGAAAACTCACGCATGTTCCAATAGTTTTTTGCTCTAAGAGTATAGTATAGTATAGGTACCCCCCACCCCTTAGCATATTAGTAAAGCTTCAAGTTTCTTTTTTGACCGGCAATAAAAAAAAAATGTGAGTTGCATTTAGGGAAGTGTAGGTTAGATATTAGGAAAAGGTCTCACAAGGAGGGTAGAAAAGCACTGGCACAGGTTACCCGGAGTGGTTGTGAAGGGAACGTGGTGCCGTAACGTTTCCACGCAGGCAGGTGAGGCCCAAGGAGATCCTGGATCCCAGGCACCGAATCTAGAATGTTTCATAGTTTCTAGGGTCTGAAGGGATCTGAACAGATCATGAAGTCCGACCCCCTGCCCTGGGCGGGAATGAGCGCTGGGATCACGTTGCACAACAGATTGACCCAGAAGCTGTAGTACAGCACTTTAGCCTTAACTTGCACATTTGGCTGTGGAAAGAGCTGGAAGAAATTGGTAAATACAGAAAGACTGGTCTCTCCTAAAAGAAGAAGGGAAAGTTGTGGGGATGCTCATGGATCGAAAAAACAAACAGGTCAAGGAACTGAGTGCATCCAAGAAAGCACTGCAGACAACCAGTGGGATAAACTGACCCATTGGATCTTCATGCAAGGATTTACATTATTACACCCCTCCGCTCATTGTATTATTGATTCAAATTCCTGTTATTTGTATTATACTTTGGTTATATCTGTCTGTAAAATGACAGAAACAGTGAATGAATGAAGAACCTGCCTTGTTATAATGGAAGGAAAAGAAGTAGAAGGATAGTGATGTAGTTTTAGTTTCAGTCCTTGGAAATTTTTCATAGATTTCATAGACATTAGGGCTGGAAGGGACCTCGGAAGATCACTGGTCTAGACAAAGCCCTGACTGGGATGTTCTAGGTGGGGATGGTCCTGTTGTGAGCAGGAGGTTGGACTAGCTCAGTGTTTCTCAGCCTATATGGGTTGCGACCCAAAAGTGGGTAGCAAGAATATAAGAGGGTTGTGAACAAACTTTAAAAATGGATCAACAAAATGGATTCTCCTTTAAAGGAATAAAAAGTGGGAAATGGTGTTTTTTCCCTTGTAGCCTGTTAGAGTTCCAGCATGCAACGGGCTGTTTGGGGCCTCCCATACCCTACACATATGTCCCATGCCCCACACATATGCCCCACACATATCCCTTCTGCCCCACACACTGGGGAGCTGGGGGCAGAAAGCAGTGGGTCAGGAGTGAGGGGCACTGGGTCAGGACTGGCCATCAGTGTTTACAAATGGGTCTTTGTACAAAAAAAGGTTAAGAACCATTGGACTAGATAACCTCCTGAGGTCCCTTCCAACCCTAATTTTCTGTGATCCTATGATATGATGTTCTACACCATCTACACCCTTCTTTTCAAAATCCTAGATTTGCCCATGGATACCAGGGAGGATATTGAATGCCAGGGGGGTGTAGATCTCTCTAGAGCTATCTAGGTGAATGCTTTCTCCTTCTATGGTAGTGTAAGAGTGCTGTTGTAGCTATGATGGTCCAGAAATTATGCAAGAGGGAAGGATTTCATAGGGTGAGATCTTTGATTGGGCCAACTATGGAGTTGGGATGACAATAGGCAAGCTTTCACATGTAAGACCTGAGAAATATGTCTTGCATGTGAACACTTGTCTAACTTTATCTCAACAAAATCAGGCCATAGTCTGAAAGTTAGGTAAGCCTGCTATGTTACATGAAGCCAGATAGATTTCATACATGTAAGATATATCCAATCCATCATAGTAGCACATAGATGCAGCAGGTTAAGAAAGCAGCTTGCTGTTGCTTCAGGAGACTCTTGAGAAAAGGGGTTCTTTAAATCAAACTTGCAAAAATTCCACTTACCTAGAGATTTTTTTTATGCAGTAGGTGTTTCAATATGCACTACTGAAGCAAGACTATTTGCTTTTTTTTTTTTGCCATCATTGGTAAGGACCCAGGAATAAACCTTTTGTCTTCTGAGCTAAACTTTCATTATAATTTTCTTTCATGTGTGCTTTTTGATTAAAAGCTACCCATTTGTTTTAAGGATATCCTTAAAGGCAGTTTGTTCACTCTCAGCCTGCATTTTTTGCTCCATAGAAACTGGGCCCCATTGACGTCAGTAGGTGTTTTACGATTGATTTCAAGAGAGCCGGGATTTTACTCCATGACGCTTCTTTCCTTCTGTTCCAATGCAGATGACTTTGAAGAGGAAAAGCCTATTTTGAAAAGGAGTGTCTCAAAAGCTCCCAGTGGAAAGAAAAAGAAGAAAGAAGATGATGACACTGGAGTTTACAGTCCAGCAAATAGAGCTACAAGGCAAAAAGGACCAAAGTCAAGAGGAAAGGGGGAAAATAACAAAGCTATAAAAAATGAAGGAAATTCTAAAGAGGAGGAAATGTGCAGGTAAGTTAACTGACTGCATCAGTACAACAATTATATGTCAATTGCTAGATGTGTTTACTTAAGACCCAGTTCAACAAACTACATATAGGAGAAACTTACTTCTGCTATTGGTACCATTCTGTTCATCATAGCTTCACATATGAGCCAAATTACTTGTGTGCATGTTCATGGGATCAAGCGTATGGAACTGAACGGGGGTGGAAAACGTTTGAGGCTTTTCCAAGCTTAATGTGTAATGTTGTGTATTTTAATTTCAGAAGGAAGTTGTCAAGGACTTAAGACCCCCCAAATTATATTATTTTTAAATTGGAGGCATTTTGTAATGCAACATAAACAGACTTAAAAATGCCAGTGAAATATTTTGTGTTTATCATCCATGTATTGCTTGCAAAGATTGTGTCCATGCTGGTATTTGTGGTTTAGGTTTTAAGTATATTCTACGCTTTTCCAGCTGTTGTTATTGATAAAGTTGTCATATTACATGTGTTCCTCTAATTAGTACAGACATTGTCCTCCCTCCACACTTTAAACAAACAAGATGATATAACCCACAACTTTGACGTTTCTTTTTGTGTAACCTTTATAGTGGTTTACCAAGCCCCTCTGGGAACAGGAAGAGTTTGAAGGGAGAATCCACTGTTAAAAAAGAGATGGATGAAAACAATGATGACAGCAATGATGATGAAAGTGAGGATGAATGGGAGGATGTGGAAGGTAAGGATCTTTTAATGTGGCCTTATCAACTACCAGACATTCTTCAGGATAGTTTAACTGATTCTGGCTGCATTCAGTGGAACCCGTCCATCTTTATGCAGGGTCCAATAAATGGTCACAGTGCATGGCATGTGTTAAAATGCTGATACTGTAAGTTAGGGGTGTCCGAAGCGGGCTGTATTCAGTTCAGGTTCGGATTTGGCCCGATTTGGGGGACAGTGTTTCGATTGACTGATTAGGATCTCTATCCTGAGTCGATTATTCAGCTGAATCCGAATCTGAAGATTCGATGCTGATTCAGAGAATCAGTGATTCGGCCACAGACCCAGCTTTATAGGTTTTTTCTACACACCTTGAGGTACCAGGTGTGGCTCGTGAATGCTGCAATGCTGGGGCACATGGAGTGTCCCACAGGAACACAGGGGACTGCAGGGGGACCCTGGGTGCCTCTCAGACCCAGGAGGCACCAGTCACTGAGCCAGGGCTGGGTCTGCTTCTGGGTCTGCTGCTGAGTGCGCAGGGGACCCCCTGCATACTCCTGTGGAACGCTTCATCTACCCCAGCATCTCAGTGTTCACAAGTTGCCTGATACCTTGAGGTTTGTAGAAGAAACATATAAAGCTGTGTCTATGGCCAAATTGTTGAATCTCTCTGAATCAATTTGGAGGCTTCTGATTCAATTCGGAGTGATTAACAGGTCTCCTGATTCAAGTCGGAGATTCAGCCACCAAATTGGACCAAATCTCCAAATTGAATCAGTGACCAAAGCTTTGCACAGCCCTACTGTATATATGGCATTCTCTGAATTATATGTAAATATGTAGTGTCAGTTGTTCTATCTGTAAAGAAATGTTGAATGAATCTAATGAGAAGACAAAGACATGTGTTCTAGCAAGAAAGAGTAGATCAGTTAAATCATTTGGCCAGATACTAGTCAATTGGCCATGAAAACAGACCATGAGAACTAGAATCTTTTCACTTCTGCCATTTTAAATCTGTACCTATTAAAGCAGTCTCCCTATTTAAATGCTCCTGAGTCTGTGCTGTCCTTTTGAACTGATAATGGAGAAAAAGGAGCTAAATGCAAGGATAAAGCAGGCAAAGAGGATCACCAAAATTAAGATGCTGAAGTCAAGCACATCATAGCTGTGTGATATAACGATGATTATTTTCTTTTAATGTACAAAATATGGCGCAGTCCCAGACCATTATCCTAAACACAGCTGCAGTGCTGTAGAAAAGCTGCCACTTCACAACTCTGTAAGTGCTGATTGTAAATGTAGTACTTCTGTAAGATGCTGTGGAGATGGTTCTTGGACTGTTGTTCTACCATGGCAAGTGCCCATTG